TGTGGTCGACAGACTGTAGTCGAGTGAGCCAATGCTTCTCGCCGAGCCACAGAGGCAAGCTCGCTCGGTCGGCCAGTGTCAGTCCTGCCAAAGTGGACGAGCCGGCAGGTGGGCCGACCTCACTCGAGCTCCACCACCACACCCCGCCTCTCTGACGTCATGCTCGTCTGCCCGGCTGTCCCACTTGCCGAGGTGAGGCCGATGTTGTTAACGCCCGCTCTCTCATCTCGCGGCGTCGACACCGCCGACGCCACCGACACCGCCACAAAAAAAGTACTTCGTTTAGCCTGCCCGTCTCTTTGTGTTTGTGTTTGTGTGTGCGTGTGTGTGTATGTGGTGTGTGTTTGTTGATAAGTCGACGTACGATGTGATTACGCGCTATAAAACTGTCGCCTTGTCGGCAAGGCGACAGCGGCAGAAGACTGTTTTGTCAAGAGTCTGCGACAAGCTTGTTCTTCTATCGTCAGGAGACGAAACGGCCCGCTAGACTCGCGTGCTCGTCTGCCAATGTGAAGACGATCAGTTGGAGTGTGCAGTTTTGCGTCTGTCAGTGGCAGTGTGGTCGACTTGTCGGCGTGTCTCTGCCAGGCGCGTTGGTACTGGTCGATTGGCATGACATGTCGCGTGGACTCGTCAAGACCTGTCAATCCGAGTTGGCAGAAGAAGCAGAAACGCAGGGCAGATGGGCGAGAAGTGGAAGCGGCAGATGAACAGGAGAGCACATCCTAAACTCACGCTGACGTGACGATTTCGCTTGTCGCCTGTCGTCTCGTCATGTTGCCGCTCAATCCTTCCTCCGGGCGGGCGGGAGGGTGGGCGGCCTCCGAGGCAAAAGACCGAGACGAGAGGACGCCGACAGTCGCTGGGCCCTGTAGCCCGCCCCACCCAAAGCCCACGGAGCTTTATGCCACACGAATAGAGTGAATCCAATCTGTTGACACGCCGACTGACGTCACGCGTTTGCCAAACTTGTCACACGACGCATTGAGACCGACGATTGTTTGGCGAAGACGTACAGTGACTGTAGGCAAAGTTGTCTTCTACAAGCTCGCTGAAAGGCAAAACCAAAAAAAGATGTCACTCTGTTTGCCTAATCGCACCATCCTAGCAGCCAAGTATGCACACACATACACGTTAGCAGGGTGTTGGTATGTGGCTTTTTGGCGCGACAGCCTGAAGATGCATCACAGCTCTTCGTCTGCCGACAACGTGAATTGTCAACGCGATCGTCTGTCTCTAGGATGCTGATAAAGTGCGTGTTGCCAGGCCGGTAAGTCTTGTTGCCAGGCCGAGTAGGCCCCATGAGGTGTAACAAGGCCCCGGGGCTAACACACTTACGTGTTGTCAAGGCATCGTGGGCCGCCATTGCACGCAAGAGCAAGTCGGTTAACGAAGACCAATACTCGCTTTGGGGAGCCGTCCAGATTCGGGCAAGACTGCGAAGCCATGCCAGCCGAAGTGAAGATCAATTGTATCCTCCTCCCCCCTTCCCCCACCCTTTGCATTCGCCCGGACCATAATCTCACTCTCTCTTGCAGCACGTTTTCCTGCCTTGACAAACCTGCAGGCTTGAAACACAAAGTACATTAATTTGTTCAAACGAAAGCAGCAAAAATGGCAAAATTAAATTAACCAATTCAACCAATGTGCCAACAGAAAATAGAACAAAAATGGGGGCGAAGAGTAATGCCACAACGATTGTAAAGAAAATGGTCGAGTACTGGAAATCACGAATACGCTGGCAGATACGTTCCACATGGTCTCCCTGACGCTCCGGCCAAGTTGCGAAAACCAGGCCTGTTAAACCAAATGAAAAGTGTGTGAATACAAAGAAGACCAAATAAAGATAAAGCTTTGGAGCATGCCTAGGGAAGCGTCATAGTGTGCCATAGTGACAAGAGGTGTCACTCTGACAGGCTGTAACTCTGTGCTAAGAATGTCGCCTCTTACCGACGATACCGGTGGTCAGATTCTGCAATTCACGAATGTTCTACAAGTTCTCCGTGTCGTTTAGACGAAGCTGCGAAAAAAAGTTCAAATCAAGATTATGCAACTTAACAAAAGTCAGCAACATTTGGCTTTTCATATCGACGACAGAAACAGAAGAGCGAAATGCTATTTGATCCGTTAATCCATCTTATTGAGCAACGTTTGCAAGAGAACGCTTCGATAGATCGCGCGACCAAAAGACTTAAATGGAGACAAGAATCTATTGGAAACCAACAATCAAATGTCAAATGTTGGTTCAACCTCGTCCTAAGTCACCTGACATAATAGTCGTAATAATTTTTAGCCTGTGACGGTTGCCCAGTTAAACAAACTCCTCATAGGAACGTAGAAAAACTGGGGCGCTGCGAAATATTGTAAAAGCTGCAATATGAGAAAATGTGCAGTTATTTGCATATTCATCCATCACATTAATTATTAAATAGTGATTTGATGTTGATAAAGTAAAAAAAAATAATGAAGATACACGAGTTTTATTTTTTTTAATCTCTTTTTTACTAATAGTGTCTTACTTAGGGTAGGGCGCCATTGAAAAATTTTAATTGAAAAAGGGCGTCGCGACTAGGAAAAGTTTGGGAACCACTGCCTTAATTAATTGATTTTG